AACTATATAAGAAATCAATTTAATTTATAAATAAAATTTTCTTTTTATGAAATATCCATTCAAATTATCTGTCAATATTAGTTGTTCAAAATAAATATATAACTATTAGCTCGAACGTAGGAATAAATTGAGAACGAAACTAATATGGCGCCAAAATAAGCGATAAAATATCCACTTTCAAACGCTCACAATTTTAAAAACTGTGATTTCCAATCATGAAAAACTTATATTTTCCTATAATACTTATAATATACATACTTTCTTATAAGATAACATAAAAAAAAAACGAAGTTCAACTGAAAAAAGAAAGATTTTATCAGACTAAGACATCATAATTTAAATAATCTTAAGCTAGAAAATTATTTCGATGGAACGAATTATCTATGGATTACCTTGAAAACATTTCTCGATAAGTATGCACAAGCAACGAATCTTTAATCTTATTAAACACATCTTCCAACGATTTTATTTGTTTGTCCAATATTTCGTTTGATTTAATTACATTCTCTTTCATTATCGTTACGCTCTGTAACAATATTTGACATTTATTGCAAATATTTTTTGTTTTTTTTCTTTTCAATAGTTTGTCAAATATTATTTGTATATAAAATGTACGTGTCTATTTGTTTCCACTTAATGCATCATGACTCACTTACTTCAGTTCTTATTAACGATTGTGCGTACGACCACAAATCCTCAACCTGTTCATGTAAATGTGCCAACATACGTTCCCTTTCTTTCATATTATTCCAAACGTCTCGTGTAATACGTTTATATTTCATTTCAATATCATTCGTTTCCTCGGCTGCGATTTGCCCCATTATCGTCGTTCGAAGTATCACTTTGCATTGACTTCTACGATCTAATTGCAAATTGTTCAACAACGTTTCGTAATACATCGCATCCTACGATTTTAAAATTATTAAAATAATTTATTATATCTTTTCTTTCTTTCTTTCTTTTTTTTTTTTTTTTTTCACAACTTAAGCAGATACCTTTTTTAAAATTTTAAGTATAAAACTATACGTTAAACTTATCGCTCTTGCTGCATTTTGCTTCGCAACAGATTTCTGATAGAGCGATATCAATCGTTGATGCTCTCGATTTTGAGACCATTGCACTCTTTCCTCCAATTCATAGATGCGAATCACTTCCGCATGCTCTATCTTCATTATGTGTTCTATATTATATATTTATATATATAAATGCGTAAATAAAGTAAAAGTGTAACATACTTGTAAACTGAAACATTCTTTCATTTTTCTTTTCTTCTCGAAACGGAGAATATCCAATTGGCGCCGTTTTTGATGATTTTCTTCGTAAATAGAATCATAAACGTGCTGCGTAACCGAAAAAATTTTGTGAAATCTTATCGATTGTTTATATGTATATGTATGTATGTAAAAATAAAAAAAAACATGTGTATAATTGCTATTAAAAAATATATATATATTAGAATTTATTTAGAATTTACCTCAGTTTCATGTCCGCGATATTTCAATCGTAAACGTTTACGAGCTTGTAGCATACTACATACTTCACCTTTCGGAGTTCCTTTTGTAATCTCTCTGATGATCTCATGATAATTTTTTATATCACGATTGTATGAATTCAATTGCCACAATACCTTTTTCTTTAATTTCAAGACATCTTGGAATCTTATTTTCTTTTGACGTGCTAAATTTTACGTTTATAAAAATTTTATAATAAAAAACGTAAAATGGTAACATAAAATATCAAAGTGTAGAAGATGAGAAAGGAATAAAAAAAAGTGATCAATTTATGGTATTTAATTTTTATTTCATTATTAACAACATCATTTTCAGCCAAAAGGATTTGCATCTTCTATCATCTTCTCCATTCTTGTTATAAATCATATATTTTATTGTATAAGAGAAATAAGAAAATGAATATCACAAAAAGATTTTCTTACCATATAATTTAAGGACTCCGCGATATTGATCTAATTTATCTTTCGTCGTCCATCTTACATCTTTAATTTGTTTGATTATCATTTTTAAAGTATATTACAGATATAAAAGAATCGCTATCAATTTATCAATACCATATGATCGTTATAATTCGCGACAGTTTGATGTTGAAAAATCAAGGAATCATCGATTAAAACTCGTTATACAGAATAATTGCAGGGGTCCAAAATAAGAATCTAGAATTTTAGAGAATAACGTAATTTTATTTTACATACAAAGACATATCACATACAAGGGGAAAATGTGAGATCCTAGATATTCCTAAAGGTTAGAATTAGGCATCGTACAATCTATATCGCATTCTTTTATTGCACACGTATCCTGAATATACATGGCTCTTTCTTCCCCTTCTCTTTCTTTCTTTCTTTTCTCTCCTCTTTTTATCATCATATTGTGCACGCAATTCTATTTGGCTTTTCTATTCTAAGCTCATACAACTTCTTTTTTAAATGACACAATCGTTGTTCCATTTGTTTTTTGAAAATTTTATGGTATGTATATTATAATAGTTTTTGTTTAGTAAAAAAATGTCCGATATTATTATTATTATTATTAAATAACTTGCGAGGTTAATTACGACTTGATTAACCTCGAAATTGGAATCTAAATTTACGTACCGTCGTCAAAATTCTTACGCATCGAATGTATATTATCTCAAATAGCATATACAACGTTAACAATCATGAAGTGACATTGTAAGAAAAACAACTGATATAGGCGATTAATCATTTTGAATGCATGAAAATTCGATTCGTGTAGATTCGTTGATATGTATCGTTTACTTTACGATCAAATAATGTGCTAATTTAATGCACGAGATCGTGTAATAAAATGTTTTTAATGGAATTCTTTATGACGTAGCATAATTCATTAATCAGGCGGTACGGTATTGGAATTGAATTTTTTCGCACCATTACAACGTAATACATTGGTACGAAATGCTATCATCGATAAGTTTTCCTTAAAGTTCAATTTTTTTTCTCTTTAAACATCTTTATATGATCTACAAGGTGGTGGGGGTGCACTCCATATTCCATTTTCCCGACAAGTCGGCTTTCTTACAGGTTCCAAAGGCGTTACATATCCCGGAGAACAAGTTACCTAACAATATAATAATTAAGATAATTAATAAAATTAAACCTATGAAAATTGTTTATTTATATTTTCATTTTATAATTAATTTTCATTTGGATAAAAAAATCATATATTTATTATGATTAATAGAAATAAAATAGAAAAGAAAATAGGAATAGAATAGAAGAATAGAAAAAAAGGTTTCATTTTTCTTCATTTTTTTTTCTCTTACTTGTATGTTATCACCTGGTTTGTACCAAAATTTAAGAGGTGCAATACGTCCATGAGGCGGATCACCTGGATATGGACATCTTACTTTGCCTAATCATCAAAACGTTATTAATAATAGAAAAAAATAAATTCAAAAAATTAATTCAAAATTATTACAAATAATATTGAAAACTTACAAACCGGAGACGGATGAGACCACGTTCCATTCTCTGTACATATTATAGAGGCCTCACCTAACAACTGATGACCAGGCAAGCAAACAAATCTGACGAGCGCCCCAACTTTGTACACACGCGTTTGATGCTGCTTCCTTCCTGAATTATGACGATTTGTTTGTTCCATAATACGCCCGCTCTTTGGTATCAATGGAATCGGACAAGTGATTTCTATAAATTAATTTCCACAAAATTCAAATAATTCTATTTAATGATTTACAGATAAAATAGATATCAAGTCTATGGATATTAATATACAAATTTCGATTCAATACATATCAAAATTTTATTCGATATAATTTTTCGATATTAATATTATTTAATATCTTTCAAAGCGATACTAAATTAATATCGAAAAATAATCCGATATTTTAACGAAACTATCGATACTCGTTTGATATTTTACAAAAATTTCGATATCTATATTGAATATCTTTTTATTTTTAAATATTACAATCAAGTCTAAGTACTATGTTTATTTCGTTTCCTCTAATTTAATTATTTATTCTCGGATTTTGTCGAATTTTTTATTCAAATCGATACTTGATGGCAACGTTTAAAAATAAAAGTTATCGAATATTAAAGTCTTATAAAATATCAAACGGATATTGACATCTTCATAAAGTACAATTTTTCGATTTGATATGGTATTCATTTAAAAGATATCATTTTAAATATCAAAAAATAATATCAAGTACGTAAAGTACCCCTAACATAACCTACAATTTTAATATGTATCGATATCTTGATTTAACATTATTGAATTGGCTTCGGTCATTAAATCGTTTGAATAACATCAATTTCGATTCGATCACTAATTTAACATATATGATTTTATATATATGATAGAAAAAAAAAGTATAGAAAAAGAATTTATTAGACACACCTACGCAACTAGGCTTATCTCCGCTCCATGAACCATCCCCTTGACATTCTATGCTTTGTGGTCCTAATAATTTATGACCCCACATACAAGTAAATATTGCTCTACTACCGAAAGTATTATTGTATTCGAGAAGTTGCAGCCGCGTGTCATCGAGTGTTTCCACGGATGGACATGTAATTGTTATGCATTCCGGCATTTCTGCTGACCATTTACCTGAAAAAAATGATTTAATTAATTGATTATTAAACAAATTCCACATATATAAAACATACAGATGAATTAATCGAAGCTTATTTATTATAAATTGTAACTAATTTAAGTTTGCATTAAATAAAACGAGATATTATTAGAGTACAAAGTGGAACAAATATAATAGAAATTGTTTATAATTAAATAAAAAAATTTTAAACATTTTTATATATTAATTTTTGTATTTGTTTCAATAGAATTGTATATATATATGTACAACATATAAAAATTTTTCATTCTATAGTTTATATTTTTCTTTTTATCTTTAATTTGATCCACGTTGTCACAATTTTAAAACTTACCATTATATTGGCATGTTATACCAGCCGCGCCTTTCAATTTAAATCCAGCAGGACACTCGAATGCTGCCCCATGACCCATTCGTGCACCTTCGATTTTACCAATTAACGGTTCGGGTAAATTCAAAACGGGACATTGGACATCTGTAACGTGTATTTTTTTTTTTCTTTTTCATTTTCATTCGACGAATAGCTTTAGCTTATAAAAATAATTATTTTAATCGTTCGATAAAAGAAACAAAAATAAACAAAAGAAAATTTGAACTTACCCACAACATGGACTCGTATAGAATTGGATAATCCACGCGGTGTAGAACACGTGTACACTCCTGAATCTTGTGCTTTCGCGTAATATATCGACAAGCGATATTTCCAATCCCTTTCACGAGCAGCAATTGCCCATCCTGAATTGAATTTTTACAATGATTATAGAATATTTATATATATAAATATATATTATATATTTTAAATTTATATATTTATATAATTATTAATATTATTAATTTATAATATTTAATAATTATTTAATAAATATTAAAATATTTTAATATTTATATATTTTAAAATGAAAGAATTTGATATTTGTTCATTTGGATTCTATTTCGAAAGTGTATCATTTCGAATATAGAAATTGTGCATTTGTTTATATTTCTTACTTAATTCTTATTACTTAATTTAATAATTAAGTAATAATTAATTTAAGAATTAAATAATTAACTAAAAGTAATTAATTAAATAACTACTGTAATTCTTATTACTTCTTGCACTGTAGCATGCACTGATTTGCAATCTATAATTGGAAATAAAATGTTGGTGATCGAGGCTTACCGGTTAAATATTGACGAAACGTCGAGGTCCAAGTCCATTCGGGATTACCAAGTTTTCTAGCGAACAGACATTCCAGATGGAGGATGCTTCCAGGAAAAACGGCGAGTGCACCCGATGGTTCAACGGCAGCTGAACCAGCCGG